CAGCAATGTATGAAAAATCTAGTTGTTCAATAATCTTGCCAGTACTTGGAATAGTTGTTATTTATTTATTTATTTATTTATTTATTTTAGCCATCCAATATTTGTGTAATGGTGTCTGGTAGGGGTTTTAATGGCTACTAATGTTGTATAAATAATTATACATAATTTTATTAGTTAATTTATCTATATTCTTCTCTGATTTTCTTTTTAGATTCTCTCCTGTACATGGATTTAGAAAACAGGGCAAATGTCACCTTTTCTGTAGCAGCTTTTCAGACTGCTAAGATAAACTCTTCCTCCTTGGTGTTAGAGTGGCAGTAGGAACTTGCCTTTGGTGGTCCATTTCTTATTTGACTCTACCTGCCTGCTTCTCTGTAAAAATGTTGAATTCCAGGTGAATAGGGACTCAGTTGTACTCATATTTGTATCTTGGGTTCCTATTTCAGAGCCTGGTGTTTAGCTTATGTTTAACTAAATTGTAATTAGATATATGAATTTGGATCAACTTAGTTTCCTCCCATGTCCAATAAGAGAGTTAGATCCTATATAATCACAGTGGCTCTGTCTGTGCAGGTGCTGTATGACTTTATCATTTCGTCTGGCTGCAGGGAATAAGTTATACTAAATGTGTCAAGAGTACAGAGTAGGGCAAATACCTATATGCATGGCAGCTAATGCTATGATAATTATCTATAATAATAATTACATGTATTGAGTACAGAATAGGTGGCAGGAATTGCACCAAACCAAATATTTAATACACTATTTAATTTGTTCCTCATAACAACCTTGTGAAGTAGGTATTATTAAATAATATTCTCATTTTATAAATCAGGAAATGGAATATCAAAAAGGGTTAAGTAACCTATCCAAAGTCACCCAGCTATTAAATTGCAGAGCTGGGATATGAACTTGGATCTGTTGCTTTCTAAATCCTTTGCCATTCCCCGTTGGGCAGCATAGTTCTATCCTATGCGTGCACTGTTCCAAATTCATTGTGTTGCCCATCTGTTATAAAAATCATAGCTGAAAGTCCCAGGAAATAAGGGGATTTCCTGCCTTTGAATAAAACAAATAAAAAGTGTTTTATAAATAACCTCTTTAAACAGTTACTGAGGGAAACCCAGAAGTAATAGGTGGAATTTAATGAGCCATTTGGATGTCTAAGGTACTTTATCATAGTTGAAAATAGCGCACCTTCCATTGAGAAATCAAAATGCCACACACTAGATGAATGAATGAGGAGGTTGACATTCCTGCTGACCAGAGTTCAGCAGCTGTTAGTACTAGTAGTGTGTATAAGCTGTTTCGGGGGTACGGAGGTTCTATTTCTTCCATCACTCCTGTCGCTCAGCCCAAGATCCTGTTGCTTCTCTTAATTGCATGTGCTTTATTTGGTAGTACCTGACAGTTTATTAAAGCAAAAAGAAACTGTTGTGGTTTATCATTAAACTCACACTGTAATTACATTTCCACACACGTAGGCTTTTGTCAGCTTTACAATTCAGCTCAATATTGCATACGTTAATGCCATTAGGATATTAACAACTATTAGATGCCAGGTAGAGCAATCTGTTTTTTCGTTAAGCAATAAGTAACATTTAGGGATATGCTATTGATGATATTGACAAGTGAGCAAAGACCTGAGGCATGGAAAGAGGCTCCATGTTGAAGCTGCACCCTGTGCTGCCACTCCGGCCAGTTCAGAGACAGGCTGTGAGTCACCCCAGTGTCCTGGATGTGTCCAGTCATGACAGGGCCTTGGAGGTTTAGAGTGGGAGAAAAACAACTCAATGCATTAAAAAAACTTAAATAGCCTTATCCTCATATTCTTCATAGGATAAATTCCTGAGGTAAGAGGGATGTTAAGTATTCAGAAAGGAGGGGTACTGATGAATTGTTTGATCTTCTGAATGAAAATGTGCTCTTGCTCTTTGAAATTATTTTTATTACTACCTATATTGTGCCTCACAGGCAGCAACAGGTGTACAAAATTGGAAGTACTGTATAAGATAATAGAGAAGGAAATGTAAAAAATATATCTGGAAAGAAACAAAGCAAAATTAACCCATAAGAAATTGTTTATAAGTTATGTGAAGTGTCATAATTTCATGGGTTGACTTTGAAAGCAATGGTGCTAGTTAGCACTTGAGCATGGTTCATATATTATAATAATATTTTCATTATTGCCAGACTTCTTTCAGAATGTATTGATGAACAATGTATTAGGTTTTGGATATCCTTACTCATTTCTCCCAAATTAGCAGTATCTATTAACTACTTGTAGTAGTTATAAGTAGTTTACTAAATTTGTTATAATAGACAAAGATTTAACATATATCATGAGAATCACATGCTATTACATGTGGTGGTTTGAAAATCACCTACTTCACTCACTCTCCTCACCTCACTGCATTCCCTTCACCCTCTTAAAGAGGAGTTGCTATTTTAATTGAGTTCAATATATCTGGACTTTTCTTTGGACAGTTTTATAATGTCACCATATCATGGTGAAAATTTTTTTAAACAAGCAAATGACTGACTGTGGAAACTTGGCATCACTTTCTAAAATGAGGAGGATAACAGAATTTTGGAAAGTTCTTTCTTCTCTGTGGAACCATTTTTCACCCTCGTCACATTGCTTCTGCTTATCCACCACACCTAGGAATTGCTACTTTGGCCAGATTTAAAGACACAAATTAGGCCCAATTTATAGTTGGTGGTTAAATTGTCACAAAGTATTATACGTGAATGAAGCTCTATCGTTTTTGTTTCTTGCTTCGATGTCATAAGTTGACATGACAGCCCCACTCTCTGTCCCTTTCAATCTCTTACTTACATTATAAAAAGAACAAATAGAGTTGGCCACTTTTGCAGCATGATGAACTACCTTGACTTCACACCACTGCGTTCATATATTGAATTTCTCATTAATTTGGGCTCAGCAGCTTGTTAGGGAGGAAATGAGAACTTAAACTTAAGGCCAAAGAAGGGCATTTCCTTTCCTCTAAATTAATCACTTCAATCCAGATTTATTTTAGGGTTTAATTAGGAGTTATGGACAGTTGAATAATTATAATAACGTGGTAATTAAACTTCTGATTTGTTACTCTCTCATGTTTGTGTGGCTCCTTTTGAAATCGCATATCTTAGGAATGATGGGAACTTGTAGGAATGATGGGACCATAATCAATCACGTGCTGTAACTCAGTACAGTAAAGAACCTCAACTTAATTCCTAATATTTTGATTATTGTCTATTTTTCAGCAGATTAAATTTAATTATTCACTTTCAGACCTCTAGAAAGATGATAGAAATATACAATTCTTTCCCAAATTTGGCCACTGGTGAACTCTAAGAAAAGTTGTATTAGCGGATGTTATTTGTATAATTTGTTTTCTGAAGTATCAACGCATATATTTTCCCCAACTGCATTATAAGCACCTTAAAGAGAAAAATGACATATTATTCAAAATTTTTAACCCTAACACAATGTACGGCACCTAGGCAGTAGTCAGTAAATATTTGCTGAGTATAATAGATAACCGTGCTATGTTAGTTGTCAAAAGGGCTAATTTTCTACCTATAATTTTGTGTTTCTCTCCATTTTTCACATTTTAGGAAAACAGTATGAGGAGTTATTTATAGATTTTACATTTGACCTTTCCAAGTGAATTAAAAATAAGTGTAGATTATTCATGCATTTGATTTAGAAATTTATAATTACATTCTCATGTAAGAGAGCCTGGAAATAGCAAAACACTGCTCTTAGAGGCTGTCAGTCAGCTCATCCTATCTGTCATCCTATCCCATATATTGTTGAATGAATAAATATATAATTGAATTTGTTGCATTAAGAGCTAAATAACAATTTTATTTGGTTTACAGTTTTAGAGGGGTTCAGTTTACTTAGCAACATACGTAGAAAAATTCTGTCAGGGTATTTTGTATACAGAACATAAGGGAAAGGGATTACTATTATCTTTCTCATTTTTGTACATTTACTATCTTTTTAGAACTTCTACAGGTCTCCATTGCTGTTGGACAGTAGAAGGCCAGTGATTTTTCTTTTGTGCATCTATTTTTTTTTTGGCTCTGGTGAGCTTAGACATGACCAATAGAAATGTATTCATAGAGGGCAGTTATCTCCAATATTAAAATTTTATAAAGAGCTTGCCTCTGTGAAATTTTATATTTGAAAAGCTTGTAGTAAGATAAACAGTTCTGTTTCAGGCCACTCATGACTCTATCAAATGAGACTGATCTAACAAAAAGATAAAGTAAAATTAAATAATATTTGACTTGGCAAGTTGTACATTTAGATTCTTTTCTCTACTAAAACGCCATAGGTACTGAAAATTGTAGCCTTTGAATATCGAAAATTATGTCTTTTTGTGACTCCATTCAAATCCTAGAACATAACTACTCTGATGGTTAATACTAAGTGTCAACTTGATTGGATTGAAATATAAAAAGTATTGATCCTGGGTGTGTCTGTGAGGGTATCGCAAAGGAGATTAACATTTGAGTCAATGGGTTGGGAAAGGCAGACCCACACTTAATTTGGGTGCGTAAAATCTAATCAGCTGCTAGCATGGCTAGAATATAAGCAGGCAGAAAAATGTGAAAAGAGAGACTGGACAAGCTTCCCAGCCTACATCTTTCTCCCATGCTGGATGCTTCCTGCCCTCAAACACTGGACAAATTCTTCAGTTTTGGAACTTGGACTGTCTCTTCTTGCCCCTCAGCCTGCAGATGGCCTACTGTGGGACCTTGTGATCATGTGAGTTAATACTTAATAAATTCCCCATATATATATATATATATATATTCTATTAGTTCTGTCCCTCTAGAGAACCCTGACTAATACAACTACCCACCATCTCATAAGTTCTCCAGAACTTCTGGGTGTCAGAATTTTAGAAAGTAATGAGGCTTTTTGTAGAATGCCATGAAATATACATTGTTTGTAATTTCACTGTACTACACACAGTCACAATCACAAAAGCTTATGTGCAGGGCAGTAGAGGAGCCCATGAACCATGAGCCATCTTTTCAGAAGTATGGCACTGTGAGTAAGAGCTCAAATCTGGATTCAGTGGTGAGTTCAAATTCCAATTTTACTACTTACTAAAGGGGGCTCTTAGGAAAGTAGCTCATTCTCTCTCTGGCAGAAATGGCCAACTGTTCATCAAAATTTGTAGCATCACCCATTGTGTGGAGATGTTGCTAAACACAGGCTTCCCCATCATGGATTCAATTTCCTAATCATCTTTGCATCTCTATGGAGCTACGTGACCAGCTCTCACTAACTGAAGGTGGGCAGGAATAAAGTGTGTTATTTCTTGGTTCTCAATGATTAAGAAGTAAGTGTGCCTGCTTTCCTCTTTCTTCTTCTTCCACAGTGACCTTGGAAGCCAAGTGCTGAAGATAGTGGAGCTACGACAATAAAGAGCTTCAGTCTTCAATCCTTACATGGCAGACCATCCACTCAGCACTCTCATCAAACTGTTATGTGTAAGAAAAAGAAATAAATGTATATTTTAGCTGCTAAGATTTCAGGGCTTATCTGTTCTAGCAGCTGGTGTTGCCTTAACTACTGTAGTCATTAAACTTCAGTTTTTCTCATTGATATAATGAAGATAAATGTATTTATACTTTCCGTATATGTTCAATGATGATGAGTGTTCTAGATGAGCTAATGCATGTACAGCATGGAAAAGAGAAAGTTCTCAAAAAAAGTTAGAATTAATGTTACGAGGGTTTACTATTGTTATTTTTATATGAGCTCTGTGAATTTTACTAACACCAATGTTTCCTGGAGGATAAGTGGTAACAGATACCAAGGAAGTAAAGATAAATATATGTGGAAAATAATTAACACTGAGAATATATTAATGGTGTCATTTCTTTCCCTATGGGTCAGGAAAAAGTTTCTATTTATTTGGTTTTGCTGAATTCAGCATGCTGCAAGCAACATTACCTTGAAATTAGGTTGAGCAACCAGTGTAGCTTTGCTCCATACATAAAAATACAGGATCAGAGTACACTGCCTGCATCCGTGCCTCATTCCATTTTCACGTCACTTCTCTTGTTTTAAAATATTCATTTTAGAGAATCTGTTATCTTCAGGTGTTATGTTGGTTGATTTTACTTGCTCATCTTTAAAACAGGAGAGGTGACATTCATTGGTAAAACTCCTAGGGAATAGAGGCGCATGATCAGTCACGAGCTTCAGCCTCAGGCACTGCAAAGCATGAAGCAAAAGACAGTATAAAGGGAGATGAGTAAACCAGTGACAGAAATGGTACAGCTGGTGCATCCGGTCATGTGAGGGATATACAAGAAATGCGGACACCGTTCTCAAATCTGCTCAAAATTGCACGCATTTCAATTTATTCCCAGGGCCACGGTCTCAAGTATTCTGAATTTCACTATTCACACAGTCCTTGGTATATTATTTTGTTAGTAAAGCCTTCCTGACTCTTCGAAGAGATAATTGTTTTCTCACAAAGAACAGACTGACATTCAATTGGTATACCTCTCTTCAAACTTTATTCCACATAAAATATCTACACTTTAGATTATCAAGTACATCAACGTGTTATTTCTATGAAGACACTTTCAGGTTTGTGCCTATATCGGCTGTTGTTATTTTAGACTATTTTTATTTGGTGCAGTATGATATGTGTAAGGTTCTTGTGTTGGTTCGAACCCCGAGAGCGCGCCAACAGACAACATGAGGCAGTGTGCACCAACATGCTGTTTTAGCAAACGCCTGGGTGCACGCAGGCTGAGGCCTAAAATGGCGTCAGCTCCTACTGAGAACAGGGCAAAGGTTTTATAGTCTCCTATAAACAGGAAGTGCCTTAGTCTGACGTAACTGCTACGTTGTACCCGGATGGCCCCTTCCTCGATCTTCAGGGTACCTGTCTTCCGGCCAGGGTAGGTGTCTTCTGCTGACTTTCTTCTTGCTACTGCTATTTTGCTGGCACACGCTGCTGGCGCAAGTTGCGCCCTGGAACTGGGCCTGAGAAGGGAGGAGTTATTCATCTCCTTAAGCTTTCAGGCCCCGGGCAGACTCTTACAGTATGATATTAAGCTGGTTATACACTAAGGTGGGATGATGAAATTGATATAAACAAATAGAGTTAAAAGCTACTTTAGAAATACTAGTTACACTTTATGTCCCTTCTTTTTTTAATCCAAGATATAAGTGTTTTTGGAGAAAATAACAGAAGGTAAGAAATACATTCTTCTACAGAACAACAAAATATAAGCATTCTCATTCTGTGGATCCTCATATAGCCTTATATAGAGAACTAAGTAGTTATTCAATACGATTTTGCTAAATTAAAGTTTGATGTTGATACATGCAACAAAATCTGACCCCATGTTTATTTTCAGAGTTCAAATAGGTTTACAGTGTGAGAAGGTTGGATTCAGGTCATTAAAACTGTAGGTGGATCTCTCACTAATGTGCTGTATGCCTATTAGTAGAGAAGCTTCTATTGACTGAGCACTTCTATCATGTAAGAGGGTTTTCTGAGCTGCTCAGTGTCTGTCAGTTAACGTCTGGGTGAAGAACTGAGGGCCTCAGGCAAGACCAAGGGCCCTTGATCCAAAAGGCCGTTAAATACACCTGACCTGGAGGATATTAACACTGCAGACATCTCAGGAACGCCAAAAAATCTGCGTAATGAAGTTTCTTTATATTTAAAGGTTCAGTTTGTGTTCCTGTTTTTCCCTTGTAGAGTTTTATTCTTGTGCTAGCATATGACCAATAGAAAACAACACGTGACTTACTCCATTAGGATTTATATATATGTAATATAAATTATATGTAAATCGATAGTTCTATGTAAACAATACATTACCTATAAACCTACAGTTATATATGAAAATACTTATATACATACAAACTTTATGTATATATTTATGTATATAAATATATGTACATTTTCATATATGAATATATAAATACTTAGATATATACATACAAACTATTGTCTTAAGTTGATCAAAACATCTTTTAAATTTAACATAGGGAAGCAACATCAAAAGTATAATTTAGCAGAGCTTCTAAACAGAACCTAAAGTCCCAAATGTTCCTCTTGATTTGGTGATTTATGACCTCTGTTACTCTAAATAAGTTACTTTGTTCTCTTGGATATTCAGTTTCTTTACTGGTAAAATGAAAAGCATAGTTTTTTTTTTTTTTATCATGTGTCAGTACAGTTGTGAAAATTTAAGAAAATATAAAATAGAGGCGTTTGTATTATTGCACAATTTACACTGTTTATATATTGACTATTATAAGTTCAATAAAAACAAATCTCCATTTTATCAACTAGTAATTTTTTCACAGACTTTATTAGCTAATTAAAGTGTATGTCCACTTGGTTATATCTTCCCACATACAATATTCAAAATTTAAGTTACCATCCTGACTTCTTTGAAAATACTCACAAATCTTTTTTATTGAAACATTATATAGACATTATTGCATATGCATATTATTTATATTTATATTATGATTTTATCAGACATTTAATAGAATTTAAATAAACTACAGTGCTTTGGAAAATTTCTGTTTCTTCAGAAAACTGGGGAAACCTCTCTGAGAACGCTGCATTTGTAATAAATTATTGATTTTTCCTTCCCCAAGAAGAGAAATGAATACATAAATAGTTTGAGGAACATCCTTTCCATTGGATAATCTTTACCTTTCTACTGTTCTCTTCCAAGTATTCTAAGTAGTAGGCTCTTAGACACGACCTTGATGTCAACAAATGATGTTATTCCATGTGTGAATATGCTCCAGATTCCTCTCTCTAGCTATTACAATGTGATTTTCTCACGTTTTAAGGCAAAGGGACCTTTTGAATGTGTTCAGACACATTTGCCCTATTCAGAGGACAGAAATTGTTAAACTTGAGGGAAATCTTTATTTTTCCCATTGCCTGCCCAATCCAAAAATGTTCAGCTGCAGATCCTGGCCTCTCCACACTTAATTCACAAGCCCAGAAAGTGCAAATGCTTCTTTAACAAGGGAATGTGACCCTGCTGCTAAACTGAAATACGAGAACATTTCTACTCTTTTTATAATTTTCTTGGTTAGTTTGTATCTATGCCCTCAGTGTCTGTTTTTTTGTGTGTTTGTTTTTGAGATGGAGTCCCCCTCTTTTTGCCCAGGCTGGAGTGCAGTGGCACGACCTCGGCTCACTGCAACTTCTGCCTCCCAGGTTCAAGCGATTCTCCTGCCTCAGCCTCCCGAGTAGAGTAGCTGGGATTACAGGCGCCCGCCACCACGCTCAACTAATTTTCGTATTTTTAGTAGAGACGGGGTTTCACCATGTTGGCCAGGATGGTCTCAAACTCCTGACCTCAGGTGATCCGGCCCGCCTCAGTCTCCCAAAGTGCTGAGATTACAGGCGTGGGTCACTGCACTTGGCTGGCCCTTGGTGTTTTTATTTCAGATATTTAATAAGACATTTTGGTTAATTATTCTATAGCTAAATAAATCCTCCTTTAATTTGCCCATCACTGTTAACTTAAACAGTTTTTCTTTTCCCCTCAATAAATGATAGCTTTCTTTCATCTTTGGTCATATTTGGTGTTCAAGCCTGTTTTCCATAATATTGATAAAAGTGGGTAAAATGCAGAGATGCTGCAGGTTTAATTTAGTTTGGCTTTAAGAGTAAGAGTAAGGGGCGGAAGAGGGTTCAAAGCTTTCCACTTTACAGTACTGCTTTGTAAAATGGACCTTGCCTGTCATGCAATGTCATAAGGGCATGATTGGCCTGCTTCTGTTTTCCTATAGACATGGCAGGAGAAATGATTGAGGGCTGTTCCAGTTTGGCATGGAAACAAAGCAAAGCAATTTCAGTGTGGTAACAAGACTAAGGAGGAGGCAGATGCTGTGCAGGCACCAGTACCACAGCCAAGGGATGAGGAACTTCTCCGTAAGATGCCCCTTTATTGCTCCATAAGCTATTATGGGCTGCATCTCCCCAAACATGGCAGCTCACCACTGTGGAAACCTAAACAGAATGATACTCAGTGTTGAATGGCAAGGCCTCCGGTCATAAATAAGATAAACCAAAAGACATTTCATGGTTATCACAGAAATGGACTTTCCTTACTTGGAATTTTCCTGCCTAAACATCCACAGGGAAAAGCTACATGTTGGGATTTCATAATTCATTTCAAGCATTTTGTTTGCAAATCTCAAAGCTTGATTTTTTTTTTCTAAGTTTGTAGGTACTTCAGTATTTGTATTTCCATTTCAGATTTTTAAAATTCATTGCTTTAAAGAACTACATCTGAAGAGCAATGTTTAGCTCTTTATTTATTATTGTATTTTATTTATCTAAAGACCAATATGTTGCTTCCTACTGATACCGTCAGATGAATATTGTTATAAAGTTAAATGAGCTTCCTCAGCAGTGAGCTCTGTGGAATACATGCACCTTTCCTTCTAGTGTGACCATTTGGGATGGAACAGACCAGAGGATTTTCCATCCCGTTACTAGAATATGTTTCTGTGACAAAGTTTTAGCAAGTTTTAGTCTGTGATCCATTTCAAGGGAAATTCTCCTGTCTGTTTTTTTTTCCAATTATGTCTTTTAATTTATATTTTCCAGATCTTATTCCATTTGAGTGAAATATGAATAATTGAAGAGATGTGGTATCAAAGCTCATTGAACAAAACTTTTCTGGTAACATGCTTCGTCCTATCTAGTTATTTGAATTCATATAAACTTAAAGGAAAAGAACAAAACAAAGCTATAAAGAAAATTGGAAGTTATTCATTGCCATTCGTCATAAACAAGCTCAGAGGCTGGGATATTTGGCATGATGATAATGAAACTGCAGGAAATTGAGCACACTCCAATGTTGGTGAGGACGGTCCATCCATTCTGCGTACGTCTGCATCTTTGGGACTTAGAGTCTGGCAAGTAGAAGAGGGATTTCATCTTGTTGGAAAATATAAGTTGGAAAATCAACCCACATGAAATTGCGGAAGCTGAGGGGTGAGTGTTCTATAAACTGTCTAATTCTTTCTTTGCTTTTAGCTAGACTACATTACGTGATTCTATGTGTTCATTATTTTTGGACACTTTCTAAAGAGTAGGTAGAATTGTAAAGACACTATTAAGGTGATAATTTAAAAACTGTGCTGGCATTCGTATCAATTAAAAACAAACTCAAATTAGGTAGAAGACTTGGCCCAACTTTCTGTTTTTTTGCTGAAATTGGTTATTTAATTTCATTTTTGTTAGTTGAATATGTTTGGGTTTCTCTGTGGTGCATCTAATAAGATTTTGTGTCTACATTTTGAGGTTTTATGGCCTTTCTCCTCTCAGTATTTCAGTGTGTTTGTGGTTGCTGCTCATGTTTAACCTGCTACTCTTAACTTTTAGTCATGGGAATTTTTGAGTTCAGGCATCTGCATCTATTTAAATATCAAAACTCTGGGAAGCTTCTCTGATAACCAAATCACAGTTATCCATGCACTTGCTCTGAACAGCAGTTGAAGTTAGGTGATATTTTATTTAGTGATCCTTATATAGCATTTATTATTTATTAAGCTCAGTTTTTGGTTTTTTACAAGTGTTAGTTTATTTAATCTGCATAACAAAGTCGTTAGAAGGTATTATTTGTATTCATAATTTTCAGATGAGGTAATTCAGGTGCCGAGAAGTTTAAGCACTTGTTCACATTCACACAAAAGCAAGTGTTAGAGTAAGGATTTCAGCTTAACCAGGATAGTTCTGGGGGGTACTGGGTTGACCACTACACCAATGCCTGTTAACCTTGATTTGCTGACCATCATGATAATTATGAAGTCAAAACAAGGAATAAACTTGATAATAGTCAAATAGACTTTAATGAGGAAGTAGGTTTAAAACAAATGGTCAGCAAACACTTTTTGGGCATGTAATATACACCAAGCAATATGCCTCCCAGCAGACTGGTGTTGAATGGCAAAGCTAGGTCCTCAGGAAGAGCGGTGGTCCAGGAATGGACCAGGTGGAATTAACCATATTAAATCCTATATTTAAAATTATTCTGTTAGCTGTATTTTGTTGATTAACCATCAATACAAGAAATATGGATCTAATCTTTCCAAATTATAATTTGGGAGAATTTTATAAGAAGTGCCACTCTCATTTTGATTCTGGCAGCATTAGTAACTGAGGCTTTAGAAATGAATTGAGATTCCAATGCTATAAAATAGCACTCTCAAATGTTTTGGTCTCAGGATTTCTTTACATGCTAGGAAATTTTTGAGAATCACCCCCTCCCCCCAAAAAAGAAAGCTTTTGTTAATGTGGGTCGCATCTCTCAATATTTATATTAGAAATTAAAATAGAAAGATTTAAAACTATTTAATTACTAATTCACTTTAAAGTGACAGTAATAATCCCATTGCATCTTGACACGAATGGCATATTTTAATAGGAAATAACTATCTTTTTCAAAACAACAAAAAAATGAGTGACATTTGCTATGGTTTGGATATAATTTGTTTGTCCCCACCAAAACTTATGTTGAAATTTGATCCTCAATGTGCCAGTGTTGGGAAGTAGGGCCTAGTGGGAGGTATTTGGGTTATGGAGGTGGATTCCCCATGAATGGCTCTGTGCTCTTCTGGTGGTAGTGCATTCTCAGTCTTTTTTTTTTTTAAACACAGGGTCTCACTCTCTCACCCAACCTGGAGCATAGGGGTACAATCATAGCTCACTGCAACCCTGAACTCCTGGGCTCAAAGGATCCTTCCGGTTCATCCTCTTGAGTAGCTCAGATTACAGGCATACACCACCACGCCTGGCTGAGTTCTCAATCTTGGAAGATTGAATTAGTTCTCATGGGAATGAATTAGTTCCTGTGATAGTGGGTTTTTATAAAGCCGGGATGCCCTTAGGTTTTCTCCTCTTCATACATGTCTACTTTCCCATTGCCCTTCTCCACCATGTTGTGATGTGCCATGAAACTCCTGTCCAGAAGCCAGGGCCATGCCCTCGAACTCCTCAGCCTGTGGAACCATGAGCTAAATAAACTTCCTTTAAAATAAATTTTTAGGTATTCTGCTGTAAGCAACACAAAATGTACTAATACAGCATTGTTTTAAATTTTTACAAATTTCTTTATTGTGTGGCTTAATGGAAAGCTAGATTCTTAGATTTGCTTCTCTAAACATTCTGTTATAATGTTACACGTTAAAACCCCTCTGAAAAACTCTGTCGTACACTTGTGAGAGAATGAGAGTGAAACAGAGAAATTAGCATCTTGGTTTATTATAAAAATAGTTTGGATCTTCTCGAACCTTTAAAGAGTCTTAGGAAACCCTGTGGTTCTCTGGCCATGCTTTGAGAACCACTGCCACAGGATAAATCCACTGCCAAATTCATCTTTTGTTATGCTATATGTTTTAGCCTGTTTTCATCTACTACTATGTGAATTTGAGCTTCAGCAATTCAATGTTATTGATTATGATTTTCTCTTTTTTTTGAGACAAAGTTTTGCTCTTGTTGCCCAGACTGGAGTGCAGCGGCACGATCTTGGCTTACTGCCAACCTCTGCCTCCCGGGTTCAAGAGATTCTCCTGCCTCAGCCTCCTCAGTAGCTGGGATTATAGGCACACACCACCACATCTGGCTAATTTTTGCATTTTTGGTAGAGACGGGGTATCACCATGTTGACCAAACTGGTATTGAACTTCTTACTTCAGGCGACCTGCCCACCTTGGCGTCCCAAAGTGCTGAGATTACAGATGTGAGCCACCGCGCCTGGTTGATGATGATTTTCAAATGCTAGGTGACTCCTTCCTAGTAGTGGTATATTTTATGTATGTTATGTCCATGAATTTTTAAAAATTTAAATGAAAGCACATGACAGTTTCAAGTACTCCAACGCTTGAGAAGCTACAATATGGTATATACAGTACACACAAGGTGATTTGAGCATCGGATAAATTCAGACCAGCAGATAGAAAGAAAGTGTTAGATGTATATGTAACTATATATAGGCATCTATGTTTGGCTTAATAAAAACACACAATGTTTCTTATGTATTGTCTTGTAATGGAAATTAACTGTTTAATACTTTTCTATTAACCTATCTACCTGGACTCGGTTTGTTTTTGTTTTTTAAATAATCTGCAGAGGTGGGTATATTGATCAAATTAGTAATGACAACACTACTCTTGCACAGTTTTGAAAATAGTGCCTAGGTTGGAATAGCCATTGAAATAGTAGATATTTGTATTTTTTGCAATGCTTTTAAATGTGTTAATTATCAATACTCATTTGACTAGTTTACTTTATTGTGGCTGAAATGCAGGCTCACAAGTAGTAAGAGGCACTTACTGTTTCTAAGTTCTATTATGGGATATGAAGGTCCTTTAGTTTTCCCAAGGTCTGATAGGCATGGCGGCTTTTAATTTCACATGGGATGCTTACAAATTGCCTTCTATTTACACATAGCTTTTGAAGTAATTATTTTCCTTTTTAGTGTCCACATCTGTCAAGCGAAGAGCCTTTTTAGCACAAATTGTGATTTAAAGAGAATAATTGTTTCAGAAGAGTAGTGAAAAATGTTCAAATTGACATTTTGAAGGAAAACACAACAAACAAAAGAAATTAATTTTATTTCAAGAAAAGAGAAAAAGTTTTTTCCCATAACGTAGTAAACATTTTGACAAAAAAAATAGCAAGTATGAGTACATGCATGTGTGTGCGTGTGTGTGTGCATGTGTGCCCCTTTCAAGAGAAGCTGACACTAAAATGATGCTTCAGATGCCAGAGTGAAGAGGTTTCTAGTTGAAACATTTAATTATTACCCAAATAGGGTAGAGAAACAAAGCCTAACTTCTTTCCTGTATTTGGAAGTGCTTGGTGTGGATAAGAAGTCTGAGTGGCAGCTGCAACTGCCAAGCAACCTCACACAATGGGAGTATTCTGCGTCTCAGTTACAGAAGGGGACTTTAAGGCCTTCTTCCACATTTGGAGGCGAGGAGTCCTCTTCTTCTTTGGCATCTTCCATTAGCAGTTTTAAGAGAGTTTGTTACCCATTTTCAAAAGTATGTTCCTAAAGATGGTGAATACTGAAGAATGACTTAAAATGTGTATACGTATACATTAACATAGAGCAAACTATAACAAAGTAGGGTAAATAAATGCATTTTAATTAGACTTTTTCTTTTTTTCTTCTTTTTTTTGATCAGGTGCATTTTTTCCTGTTTTTTTTTTTTGTTGTTGTTGTTGTTGTTGTTTGTTTGTTGTTACTTTTGCTTTTGCTTTTGAGACAGGGTCTCATTCTCTCACCCAGGCTGGAGTGCAGTGTCGTGATCTCGGCTCACTGCAGCCTGGACCTCCCGGGCTCAACTGATCCTCCCAACTCAGGCTCCTGAGTAGCTGGGACTGCAGATACATGCCACCACACCTGGATAATTTTTTGTATTTTTGGTAGAGATGAGGTTTCACTATGTTGCCCAGGGTGGTCTCAAACTCCCAAGCTCAAATGGTCCACCTGCCTCGGCCTCCTAAAATGCTGGAATTATAGGCATGAGGCACCATGCCTGGCCTATTTCCTGTGTTTAGACATGGATCTGAAGCTTCTATAGTCTGAAGTTTTTCTCTGAAATTAGCAGTAGGTTTGAGCTTGTAGAAATAAATCCCTTACCAGACAATTGCTAAAATGCAATATTTATTAATTAAGTCAAATTGTGCTCCAAAGTAGACGTTAACTATTCTCTGTTGATGAGTTGGAACACAATGTGAGCTTGAGTCATTCATTCTGGCCAATGAATAGCAATCAATTATGGAAGCCAAATCAATCACACAGCAGACCACACCAATGGTTAGGATGGTCAGAATGAAGAAAGAGGCAATGATGCGGTTGATTTCATATGTATAAACATAGTCAAAAGTAATAAGGAACTCTACCATGCATTGGGATACAATACATAGATCCCGATGCGGAGTATAGTTTGTAAAAATAGTATTTCTACTTGAGTTTTGGAGTTAGATTTTTACACAAACATTCTAACCTGACAAGGAATCATATCTGAAAGCTGATATAAAAAGGAGTCCCTAAACTAATGAGAACTGTCAAAGTGAGGCAAATACATACTTTTGCTTATTTTGAAACTTTATTATGAACTAATGATTTTTTTTTTTTTTTTTAAATTCAGGCAGAGTTTCACTCTTGCTGCGCAGGCTGGAGTGCAATGGTGCGATCTCGGCTCACTGCAACCTTCGCCTCCTGGGTTCAAGCGATTCTCCTGCCTCAGCCTCTGGAGTAGCTGGCATTACAGGCATGTGCCACCATGCCCGGCTAATTTTGCATTTTTAGTAGAGACGGGATTTCTCCATGTTGATGAGGCTGGTCTCAAACTCTCGACCTCAGGTGATCCACCCACCTTGGCCTCCCAAAGTGCTGGGATTACAGGCGTGAGCCACTGCACTCAGCCAGTAATGATGTTTTGTAATGTAACATCTGAGTTGGGCATACATATAAAATTATAAAATACTTTTATTAATCAAAGAATACATTTATATATTATTGCTTTCCACTCTAACCAAAACTGTAACAATGCCCCAGAAGTCTCCAAAGAGGAACACAGTGGAGTGATTCTTGAGGAGGTAAAATCAAATCATTTATTATTCAGAAGAGTGGCAGATTTACCAATACAGAAGTTTCTGTCCCAAAATGTACATTCTTTTGTAGCACTTGTTCTAATATTTAAATTTTTCTCTTGCTTATAGTAAGTTAACTGTTGTCACCTAAGATTTGAAGAACTCACCTTCAGATATTTTGGTTTCTCCAAGTAAAATTATGCCATGATACAGAACATTAGGTTTTCTCTTACATTCTTATGATTTTGAATTTATTTTAGGTTTCACTGATGGAAAAATGGAGAAGATTTGATGAAACAGCAAGTCCTTAAGAGTGGGAGCCAGAAGTTTAAGTTGTAACAGGTTTCGGATGTGATTCAGAACTTAGAGGATAACAAACTGCAGAAAAATTCTTTGGAAGATAACGATTAGAGAAAAATTCTGGGTCAAAGGCAGCTATTGTGGTGCATAGTTATTCAGACTTCAAATTTGAAAAGAAATCATTGTTTCACAGACCGAAAGGTGAGCCACTGGTATCTGTCATCAGCAAACAGGAAAAATGAAGAAGTACATTTCTTCTATAGGTTGCAACACACAGTACAAATATACCATTAGAATACCTAAAATGCAAGATGAATCGGTTCTGTGAATTGAAACTTTGATTTTGTTCTTTAGCCAGTAGAGTTTACAGAGTTCTATGAGGAAGGACATCTGTAAAATATCTTACAATATGTTGTCTCCTGTTTTGAGAGAAAGGGAAAGTATCTTTGCACTGTGAATATACCCTTTGTGTTATTAACTGTGAGGACATGACAAGGCTAAACAATTGCTTCTTTCTTCTGTCAAAGTTTCGTTTGCTTTGGTTAGTGCCATTGCTGGAGAGAATTAAACAAGTTTCCACGTTTTAGGCTTCTTGACATTTTTTGATGTTCCACGTAACTGCAACGGAATAACTCGATGAAACAAATCAAGGCAGCTGTGCTCTGATCCTTAGTTGCCTTCCAGGATAAGATGACACATTTGATAAACACATTTCCTTTAACGCCAAGTTCTCCAGGTCAGGCAGGCATATCATATAGATGAAACTGATCTGAGCCTTCATCCTGAGGGAGAAGAGAGTTGGAGATGAAGGTAAACCAGGATCCTGGTTTTAACCCTGCAACACACCAGTCTCCTGAACTTGAGTATTTGTAAGTACTACATCTGAGATTGGCTTTGCCCATGACTTTCCAAACATTGATATTGGATGGGACCTGACCCTTAAATAATCCCAAGTCAGAGAAAAACAATTTTGTGGAATAGTTGCAAAGAGCATTTGCTCACTTAATTCTGTTGCCCAGGAGCCCAAGTGGTGGAGGAAGGAGAATGTGGATTCTGGAATTAGGAAGACTTGGGTTCAATGTCACCTTCTACCATTTAACAACTGCTGAGGTTAGTTTCCTATACTCTTTGAGTCCCAGACCCTTATCTCTAAAATTGAGAATAATAATATCTACCTCACAGGATTATTAAGAATGCTAATTGAGATTAAATATGTAAAGTACATGGCACAAAATGCTCAATAAATATTAGTACTATTTAATTTAGCCTAAGGGTCTTGCTAGGATTTTAGAGATGCTTTCCTGCCTCTTACTGGCTCTATTGTTTACATAATTATCTCTTTATTTTTCCTTTTCTCTAAAATTGTATTAGTATTTCAGTAAATCTTTCTTACATTGAGAACAATCTCGTATATAAAGTGGAACATATTGGGGGGAACTTTTCAGTAGCCATCTCATAGGCTAAAGAAACAAAAAAGATAGATGTTTTACATGTTTTTATTCTGTTGATGAGCCCCTGAGAAGATTGTTCCGGGTTCTGACACAGTCTCATCCAGGACCAAGATGGTTTTCTTCACTTTCCAACCCAGTGATCTTTTAGTTTTAATGTAAGTAAATCTAAGCATTGAAGTACAGCATTTCCAACATAATCGTTTCTGTACATTTAATATTTTAGCTCATGCAGAAAGGGGAGTTTCTGGAAAAGCATGCCTAAAGTGACCATCTATTGTAATCCTTGGAGAGTGTAACAATAAAAATTGTGTTGAACATTTATGTAAAGCTTCTGGAAGGAGACAGGAAAGACATCCTTAACCAACTTAATAGAACTTTCACTTTTAAGGAACTGCAGTGCAGGTGATTAGTAAAAATGGGCCCTGATACAAAGTCAGCTTAGGGTCCACTGGATACTGCAACAAAGGACTTTTATTGTTTCTTCTTGAGGAGGGAAACAGATTTCCCTAATCAAAGACCAGATTCTTTCTTAGCAGTAAGGGAAAGAAAGTAGGTAATACTTTCTGTTTGTTTTTCCCTTCAGAAATGGAGAAAGCTCACCAAAGAAGAGAAGGGACATGCTTCACTCAGGTAGGCAATATTGCTTCTTTAACCCCAGATGCAGCTATAGGGACTTCCAAGTATATTAAGGGAAGAAGCCATTTGAGAATGGAGTTTATACTGCAAATACCCACGTCTTCCTACATACTCCGGACACTAGATTTGGGTTTGAATCGATTCTGTGGCTTTCTTTTAAAAATTTCACTCCAGCTTAACATTGTCTCAACATTGTCCTCTCCCACTACCAGTAATTTCCACTTTAGTGGAAATTATTTGACTCCTCTTAAGAATAGCTGAGCCTCAAATTGGGTGACACCACCCCATAGTGTCATAGAACTGAGATCCCGTGACACCTACCAACCTATAGGTGTGCATTAGCTGCTGCAGCTTATTACCTAATTGCTGCCTCTGGTCAATTAACAAAAATAACCTTTTTTCATGAAGCAACTTTTTGGCAAAGATTTGCTTACTTAGTAAGTCTTTCCACCTCTGGAATTATAACGGAGAGGCCAAAACAGAATTAATATTAAGATTGTCATCACTACGTTCTCAGGGTTAAGTACGTACACCCCTTTTAAGTTATCTTTAAAATAATTTAAGTCAAATACTCCCTTAAAAATCATGGTTTGAATTAAATTTCATGTCTCCCAGTCTGCAGTCCATGATGAACAAGCTGAACTATAACTTTAAACAACAGAGAAATCCTTGGAATCAACATTTAATTAAAAAGACCATTAGATGGTGCCTCATTGGAAACACAGAACATGCTTAAATGAATTTTTCAATATGTAGATAAATGTTTTACCATTAGGGTCTCTTAAAGGAAGTAAAAATTGGCAACTCATTAAGAGTGTACATAGGTACTATAAACAGACAACAAAGTGCCTCTGGCATGTTTCATGGTTTAGACATCAAAAGAAAAAGTCATAAAATCTACTTGCAGTAAAACAAAGTCCATTTTTCCCCCAACAAGGCTGGTATCTATTAGCTACCTCATATGTGGAGAAAGAAAAGTTACCAGTCCTTTAATCAGATATATCTGAAATGTTTTGGGAATAAATATGAAATAGCAAAGAGTGTATGTATTTGATGTTTTCTAATTTTTACACCATACTAATGAGAATGACCTTGGTAGTTTAAAACATTCATCCTCTCTGTTTCTAATAATACCTACAATCAGTTGTGTGTATTAAAAGTTTTGTTAATAATCTAAAGTGGTAGGTGACCTCAGCTGTTTAGTTCTGTGGTTTAAAGCGTGACCAAAATTGTGTTTTTGTTTTCCTCATTTTATAGCTAAAAAGTATAATGTTAAAAATACTGACAAAAATGAGTTATTGCTATAAATATGTGAATCGAATGGGAATTTTCTGGACTTTGTGATTACGAACATTGCACACAGAAAAAGCCAGTGCATCACACCAGAATGTCAATGGGGTAGGGTACTGAGCCAAAGAAAAAAGGCAAAGAGCCCACTTTGGTACACCTGGAGTAGATTACACACATAGGGTTGATCTTTCCCTCGTAGCCAAAAAGCTCTGGTAATGTGCTCTCCGCAGTACATGATAGAGCAGGGTAAAGCTGGAAATTAATCACCCAGTGTTACCAAGGCAGTTCATTACATGCAATTGACAGCCTCCTCTCTGTATTTTTAAATGGCTAAGAATCAAGTAGTTGCACATCAAAATGTGATTTTTTTCTTGCTTCCTGGCACAGGACCCGTATCTGTCATCATTTCATGTCCTCAAAGGCCTGAGAGAAGCTGCCATCCTTGGGCAACAAAGGATGCCATGCAAAGCAGCTCAGAACTTGAGTTGTTTCAACAGATGCTGTTTTATGTTTTGCCAAAGAATGGCCCCTTTTATTTCTGTCATGAATGCAGTCTTTCTTTCAGTTTCTAAATGTTTTCCAGTATTAACCCTAATCCTTATCTATCATTCTTTTAGGATGATGGGCTGTCCCTTTTCCTTTGGAACCAGCATAACCTTCACCATGTCAATATGGATTGCAGAGAAATGGGAACTGGTGCTGTTCACCTTACAGCTCCTGATGATTTCTTACAGTGGGGGAAAGGGAGATTGGACTTCAAGGTCAGAGTAACTGAGCCAAGTTATTCCAATGTAAGAAAAAATGCTAACATTGAAAGGAACAATTTTACCCTGTAAAGATTCTCTGCCTAGGGTACTAGAAAAATCAGAAAAGGGAGCTGGTGGAGGAAAGAACTAGAATAAACAAAGCAAGCTCAGAACAATTCATTCCTATGTTTGTTTATTGAAACAGAACCAGGAAGGACTGATGAAGGTCTGAATTAATGTAATTTATAAGAAGAAAGGCTCCCCTCCAAGGCAATGAAATGATCTCTTTCCAAATATGTAACCAGGAGTCGCTCCCCATAAACCCAGGGCATGTCAGGGCAAAGATGGTATTCCAGATCTTTATAGCCTCCCCAGTTTTTGCCTCAGAGAGAGTTCCTAATTAACCATTTAGGGATTCAGAATTGTTAATCAAAGTTGCTCTGATGAAATTTTGAGGGTGGTTCTATTTCTTGTCACAAGTTGAATTGTTTAAAAGTACTGCCTCAGAGATCTGATTTTCCGCATTACGCCAGCATTTTCTTACCTTAGGGCAGGCAAAGGGCTAGTCAAACTTTAAAATTGGAACTTCTTACATTTTTTTCCCTCAGAGCATTTGAAGTTTGTTTGTTTGGTCTGTTTGTTTTGTGTCTGTTACAGTTCTTTATTTTGCTTTTCAAGTGCAAAGTTACTGTGCTGGTGATGATAGAGGGGATACATAAAGGAGGGAAAGAACTTGCTCAAGGAAGTTCACAGAGTGGATACTCTATATCCAATAATAACAGTGAGGAAAGAAAGAATGCAGTTGAAGATATGAGGGGCAAAGTAATACAGAGATTTTCACAGATTTAGAAGATTGCTGCCCAGATCCTTCTGTTTCTCTCTTTTTGTTCCTAGTGAGAGTTATTAAAATAGCTAACATCTACATGCCCATTCTGCACAGAGGAGGGATATATGAAGAAAGCAAGAAACCACTAGCCTATGTGTAGGGTGATATGCCTTATAGCCATGCTCAGTTACTATTTTTGGTCGTGGGCCTAGAAATAACCATCTGGGCAATCAGACTTTTGCATTGACATGCAATGTTGGCTGAATCCACAGGCAGCTGGCTGAGTAGTATTTAAATTCAGTGCTGAGATAGGAGTAGGCCCTGACAGGCAGTAGTTAGGGGACAGTCATCTATTCTACCAATGTCAACAGTAATGATACTGTAATTCTTTCCAAAATGTGGTCCTTTTTGCTATGTTTTGACAAGCTGGCTGTTATTCTAACTTTCTGTATTATTGAAAACATGTAGGCTAGACATTGATACACGTATATGCATATGCATGTGTTTATGTGGCTGTATATAGTTATGGAAGAATCCATGAGAGTCAATCTTCCATATTTATTAAGTATGTACACTATGCAAAGCACTTTATTGTATGATATAGAAAAATATGGAAAAATTGTAAGCACACTAAGTCCAGGAGAGATTGATTCGCCTATGTTCCAGAACCTCACTTTGTGTTTCTATTAAGTGACTTATTGGGATCAGGCAGTATCCAATATCATTTCTAGGTCTTTAATTCTATGAGTCCATCGTTTTGGATAAAAATTAAATATACGGTTAAAGACACATGGACTGGATTAGTGGTTACAAGCATAAGCTTTATTGTCAGATTCACTTTAAATATAAGTGCAGCTTCTGCCACTTAAAAGTTCTACACCCTGTGGCATTTATTAAATTGGGCTCTAGTATCCCCAACTATAAAATAGGAAATTGTAATTGTAATCTATCTCATAAGGTTGTTTTATAGATTGAATGTGATAAAGCATGTAAAGCATTTTTCAGAAATCGTGGTAAAGGACAATTATTACAAAATGTTAATGATTTTATGCTATCATAATGGTAGTTATGGAAGCATTGAAAACTGGGAAAAGTAAGTCAGCAGAACTCAATAAACTGATTCCTTTGCACTGCCTTTTTTGTTGGAAAACTGTTGACTGGATAGATTTTTTTCCTCTCCTGGGGGAAAAGTGAAGTTGTGAATTTCTTTGTACAGTTCAGAAGTAAATAAGACAATCTCATGTATAAATCACTGAATTTATATTAGTTCTAATAATTCCCACAAATATATCCAGGCTTTACGTGAGGCAAACACATGCATTTATTGAATCAGTTCATTAGCAGTGAAGATATATGTGTGTATATATGTGTATAAACACATAAAATCATTTTGCATTTGTATGTTCATAGGAAAGAGCCGGGAACTATGGATAGATTAGAAGTCAGAAAATGCAGGTTTAAGCAGAGCTCTGATACTAACTTGCAGTGTCATTGTGGATAAGTTATTAATCTTTCTAATCTCAGTTTACTTCTTTGTGCAACTAGGGCTTTACCTATTAAATGGTCTCAGCTCTAACACTGCCCTGAAATCTCATGACTTTTTGTCAACAATAGCTCCATGAATGATAACATAGGATAACTAGAATGAACTTCATTCTTGTATAGTTCAATGTTTCTCAAATTAGAATGGGAAATCTAAGAGTCCAGACAATCTCAACTCAATCAGCAATCTGAAGACCTCCTGACCAAAAGTTGTCCTGTTCATATGACCCTGTTCTCTCTACCCCCTGCAGCCAAAAATCCAATAGACATTCATTGGGAACCAGCTATTTGTCAAGCACTGCACTTGATGGTAAAAAATTAAGATGGAAAATACATTTTCTAATGAGGAAGACATGTAATATTTATATTGTTTTAAATACTAGGCAAGCACACAGAAAAACTACTAAATATTTCTGGTAAGGTCTGATAAATTGACACACAGGCTTCTTTGGAGATGCATCTTAAAAGATTTCAAAGAATTGATCTGGTGGATAAAGTAATGAGGAGACAGAGGAAGTTCTCATGCAAAGAAAAAAAAAAACATTTGTAAAGATACAAAGGTGTGAGAAATCTTGATGTGGTCAGAGAATAGAAATTACTGTGGATGTGAAATAAAGAGCATTGGTTAAGAGCCCAGATACCAAAGTCAGATAGTCTAGGTTCAAATACCAACTCCATCACTTAGGTGCAAATGCTGGGCTAATTATTTGACCTCTCTGCTTTAGTTTCTTCATTTGCAATATGAGAATGATAAGGTATTGTAAGGATATACTTTCGAAACATACGCAGTCAATATCAGTTATTTTTCTGAGTATCAAGTAGAGGGGGTGAGTGAGACAATAGAGTGAGGAGACCCTGAAGAGGTAGATTGTAATCTGATGATAGCCAGAGGCTATCTTATGCCTTGTCAAAAAAGGTCTCCTAGATGTGCCGATGGGGATTTATGCTAGAGCGTCCAGTGGCCATATTAATGGCATTGTGTCAGGGAAAATTGGAAGAGTCTTTTCATAACAAAATAAGAGTGGAGGAATAGTCCAATATCTTGCCTTAGGTAACCAGATGAATTGCAACCATTAACATCTGAGGCAACATCTGAAGAGGAAGTGCAAGTTATTGAGAAATATTATAAATTCAGTTTCATTGCGTTTAGTGTCTGTGGGACATCACCTGGAGGTATTCCGTGAATGTTTGGATATAGAGCAATGTCTCAGAAGAAAGTCTAGAATAGTGCTGTCCAATAGACACCTACTGTGACCCTCAAATGCAAATTATTTAGTCCACAAATGTAAACAGGTGATATTAATCTTAATTACATGTTTTGTTTAACACAATATATCTAAAATGTTATTTCATCTTGTAATCAATACGAAATTACTAAGATGTTTTCTTGCCAGGTCTTAAACTTGGTGTGTATTTTATATTCAGCACATCTCAAGCCGTATGTCAGGTGCTTGGTAGCCATATGTGGCTTGGGGACTACCAAATGGGACAGTGCAGTTCCAGAACATGGTAATGGGGGGGATTTATACATTTAGCAATGGTCAGTTGAAAAATTCTGGGCACTGTGCTAGGAGCGAGAATTCAGTGACGTATAACACAGACACAGTTTCTCCTTCACTAAACTTTCAAGTTATTAGGGAATAGCAGTTCTGCTGGCCTTGATGTTCTTTCTGTGCAAATTAAATAACAGTGAAGTCACTGGGCAGAGTTGTCCCAAACCAGGGATCACAGAGTACACATGAGATTTCTATGCCTCTTTTGTTTGTTTGTTTGTTTTTCTGGAGATAGAGTCTCTCTCCGTTGTCCAGTCTGCAGTAGCGTGATCTCGGCTCACTGCAACCTCCGCCTCCCGGTTCAATCGGTTCTGCTGCCTCAGCCTCCCAAGTAGCTGAGATTACAGGCGTCCACCACCACGCCTGCCTAATTTTTGTATTTTTAGTAGAGGTGGGTTTTCACCATGTTGGCCAGGCTGGCCTCGAACTCCTGACCTTGTGATCCACCCTCCTCGGCCTCCCAATGTGCTGTGATTACAGGCATGAACCACTGCACCTGATTGAGATTTCTATGCCTCTTTACTCTCTCTGCCCTGAAACTTTTTGTGGTACAAATTGTACAAAGTCATAAGTGAGGATGCCACAATTTACCCCGTCAGGGAATGCAGGCATTTACAAGTAATTAAAAGCAAATGAGAGTGTTATAAGGGAGGAAACTCATGTGAGGGGACTTGGTTGTTTAAAGATCAGGAATGTTTTGAAGTAATGACATCTAAGCTGGAAACTGAAGGATCACCAGGAATTAGACCAATGGGAATGTGGGTGGGTATTCCAGGTAGAAATTATGATACATTTGAAAGTACAAAGGGGAGGCCCTCAGGGAAAGTCATGGAGCTAAGAGAGATTTGGACCATGTGTGGAGAGGAAGGGAGGAAAGACATGCAGTTAGAAGGTCTAGGGGCTTCTCTGCAGGGTGGATTAAGGGAGCAAGGGACACACAGAGCCAGAGATACTAATGATGTCAGTAGAAAGCAAGAGATCTTGGAAGGAACCTGGGAAGGAAAAGTCGGAAATGCAGAATAAAAACCAGAAATGAGTAATGATCTATAAGGCAACTAGTGAGAGGGAAACTCCACTTTTTGAAAAGGGCCAACAATGTGTCAACTACAGCAAGGAAGTCAAGGCTGAAAAGGCTAAAAAGTGGCTGTGGGATCAATTAATGAAGGCAGCGTTGAGGCCTTGGTGAGCACAGTTTTGAGAAAAGAGGTAGAAACCAAATCGTAACAGTGGAAAAACAAATGGAGCTTGAAGACCAGAAGGTGTTTTAAAGAAAGCTGACTGTTGGGAAGTGAATGAAGGTGATGTTCCTACAAAAAGAGAAGTACACTGCAGCATTGGTGAGAGTTGTTTGCTCTTTTATTTTTGTTTTTAGTTATGGGATACTAGCACATCTCTAAACTTCATATTACCACAGTTCTCTCTCCAACTCTGTTACAGAAAACAGATACATCTGGTACTCTTTTTTTTTTTTTTTTTTTTTTTGGAGACAGAGTCTCACTCTGTCACCCAGGCTGGAGTGCAGTGGTGTGATCTCGGCTCACTGCAGTCTTGACCTCCCAGGTTCAAGTGATTCTCATGCCTCAGCCTGGTACTATAGGTGTGCGCCAGCACGCCCAGCTGATTTTTTGTATTTTTAGTAGAGACAGGGTTTCACCATGTTGGCCAGGCTGGTCTCAAGCTCCTGATCTCAGGTGATCCACCTGCCTTGGCCTCCCAAACTACTGGGATTACAGGCGTGAGCCACCCCATGCCCATCCCATCTGATACTCTTTAGAAATGGACACAAGAATCAGAAGGTGTTATTGGATTCTCCTTGTTAACTTATTGCACAACTTGGGGCCTTGTGATAGAATGCGTGTTGAATTTGTATACACAGGATTAAGTCGTCAAGGGACCATCAGAGGAAGAGCTTAGTAACCACTCTCTTCCCTCCGTCCATCATTGTCCACCCAGGTATGAATGAAATCGTTCATTTTTCACTGAACACTTACTTCATGCTGGGACCTAAGCAACAACTGTGGCAACAATGGACTTACTGATAATTTACTATGTACAGACACTCTTCTCACCTTTTGACAGGTATTTTCTCACTTAATCTGTCTCAAATGTTCATTGGACATATACTACCAAGGCTCTGGTTTACCATGCCATTGTGCTTCCTTTTGATCATATATATTGTTTTTGTTGGATATTGCTATATAGTGTTTTCAGTTTTTCATGTGGATATTCTGCTGAATGTTTATTATCCTTGTTTGCATACCTGGTGGACACAAGGCCTCTCTCAAATTTCTCTCTCTCTCTTTTTTTTTTTCCATTAACATTCTCAGGTTTTAAAAAATCATTTAAATGGAAGGGTCATATGAAGTTAGCTTCTCAACTAATTTGGTCCTGTTTTTCTAAACGTGGTTGGGTGGAGCGCCCTCTCTCCTGAATCCTTCTCTTTCGTTTTTCAGAGACCGTTGATTAGATGACCAAAAGTGCCCAGCCCTTTGCCAAGTGTGATAGAAAACAGGGAGAAGGTATCATCACAGTTTCACAGATGCCTGCATTCCAAAGGATCTCATCAGAGCATAAGAGCTCTTCCAGATAATTAGTAATTGGTCCTCACAGCACTCCTGGGAAGTACTGGGTATGCAGCAAAGCTACATAGAGCATAAATGAGCCTTTCCAGAGGGCAAGACAATTTCCTCCTCAGTGATGGGGACAATTATAGTGATCCACCTTTACAGGGGTGTCAATTATTCACAATCTAAAAGCCCTGAGAATTATGAACCTCACTAGGAATATGTATACACAGCACACTTGTATTGTACTTAATTGGCATTCTCCTTTCCCCTGCCCTGCTACCTGCAAATCACACCACAATGACACCCTTGGGTTTACCTTTGGTCCTGGTTATTGACATGGAGCCTGCCTCCCTGCATCAAAGATCTGCCTGGATCACACAAGAGGATAGAAGAACAGACCTGCCAGGTGTTGATGTGCCCATGACGAGCAACCTAAATGGAATCCTGACGGGCCTTCCCAGCCTTCTACATAAACATAATGAATCAATACAGAATACACACTCAATAAGCTACAAGTAAAGCAGAAAGCAATGTATGAGGATAAAGGGAAAAACAACAGTTTGATCCACCTCAACGATAGGAATTGCAAAATTCACTCTGAATGGGTGCAGGGTGCAAGTGAAATATTCCAGATAAGCTTCTGTTAACAATTGCCACCAATGACCCATTCACCTTTGGATTCTTCTTATTAGAGCCTTTTTTAATCTCCTCCCTCTCTCCTATCCCCTACCTACCTTATTTTCATCTTTTTATGTGTAACTATCCTATCTCTCTGACAAACTGAAATTGTGAGCTTCAGACAAGGAATATATCCCATATGTTACTTTGATTCAATTAAATTAGAAACACAGTCACAAAAACAAAACCACCATTTCTGCTTCACCATTCTTCACCTGTGGAATTGCTTATGCATTTCATTATTGGCACATTCGCCATTCAATTCTTTCCATCTTCTTTGTTTCAGCACTTCTTCTTTATTCAACTCTTCATTTCATGCAACAGCTATTATTGGACGTGTTCACACACAGCCTAAGTAATTGTTTGCTACAGAGAGG